AGCATGGGCGACAGAGTGAGACCTTGTCTCAAAAAAAAAAGATTTCAGGACATTTCAAGTTGTGTGTGTGTGTCGATATGTGGGCATGCATACATACACTTAACAACTGAATCTTAAATGTTCTTTGAATTGATGAGTTTGTTATTCATTTTGCCATCAGTTTTATGTTGGTCCCTGCATATTTGTATTAATATGGTGGATAGTAAGAGTATTACTGAAAGCCATTCCTACTGATACTGTTGGAACAATTTAACTAGACACAGAAGTGACTGCAAATTGTACAAATATTCCCCCACTGAGTCATAATTGTTAGTCCTATACAATGTCCCTTTAGGTGGGGATTACCATAGATACTCCCATTGTCACCCAACTGAAGGGAAAATGTGGTAGAAGAAGTCCTAGTGGAGCGAGACAGTGATCTCCACAGATTATAGTGTAAATTACCTACTTTTACCAAAAAAAAAAAAAAAAAATTTCACATGATCATGTGACTCTATTACCAGGGTCTTTCCCAGGGCATTGGAAGGGGCCTATGCAAGCAAGAAGCCCTTGACGCATGAGCTTTATTAGCTCCATGGTAGATCTACATGTGAAGGTTTACTCAACTTAATCTAGGCCTACTTCCCTGAACATGGTGAGAGGTGACAACCTGCTGTTGGCCCTCGCTTGCTCTCAGTGCCTCCTCAGACTCAGCGTCCACTCTGGCCACGCTTGAGGAGCCCTTCAGCCTGCTGCTGCACTGTGGGAGCCCCTCTCTGGGCTGGCTGAGGCTGGAGCCGGCTCCCTCTGCTTGCGGGGAGGTGTGGAGGCAGAGGCACGGGCGGGAACCAGGGCTGGCAGGCCAGCGTGAATTCTGGGTGGACACGGGCTTGGTGGGCCCTGCACTGGGAGCCGCCAGCCCACCAGCCCCCAGCAGTGAGGGGCTTAGCACCCAGGCCAGCAGCTGCAGAGGTTGCACCGGGTCCCCCCAGCACTGCCGGCAGCCTGCACCACCCTGGAATTGTCGCCGGGCCTCAGCTGCCTGCTGCGGGGCAGGGCTGGAGACCTGCAGCCCGCCATGCCCGAGCCCCTCACAGTGGGCTCCTGCATGGCCCGAGCCTCCCTGTGCGTGCCGTCCCCTCCTCTGTGGAGCCAGGTGCCATCAACCACCCAAGGGCTGAGCAGTGCAGGTGAACTGCATGGGACTGGTGGGCAGCTGTGCCCCTGTCCTGGTGTGGTATCCCATAGGGGAAGCCAGCTAGGTTCCTGAGTCAGATGGGGACTTGGAGAACTTTCATATCTAGCCTTAGGATTGTAGATGCACCAAACAGCACTCTGTATTTAGCTAATCTGGTGGGGACTTGGAGAACTTTTATGTCTAGCTAAAGGATTGTAGATGCACCAATCAGCACTCTATGTCTAGCTCAAGGTGTGTAAACGCACCAATCAGTGCTCTGTGTCTAGCTAATCTAGCGGGGACTTGGAGAAATTTTACGTCTAGCTAGAGGATCGTAAATACACCAATCAGCACTCTGTGTCTAGCTCAGGGATTGTAAACGCACCAATCAGCACTCTGTCAAAACAGACCAATCAGCTCTCTGTAAAATGGACCAATCAACAGGGTGTAGGTGGGATCAGATAAAGGAATAAAAGCAAGCTGCAGGAGCCAGCACTAGCAACCTGCTTGGGTTTCCTTCAACACTGTGGAAGGTTTGTTCTTCTGCTCTTTATGATAAATCTTACGGTTGCTCTTCTTTTGAGTCCTTAATTTTACAGCCTTCGTGAGCTGTAGCACTCACTGCAAAGGTCTGCAGCTTTGCTGCTGAAGCCAGCGAGACAACAAACCCACTGGGAGGAATGAGCAACTCCAATGCACTGCCTTTAAGAGCTGTAACACTCACCCCAACAGTCCGCGACTTTATTCTTGAAGTCAGCGAGACCAAGAACCCACCAATTCCGGACACAATGGTGGCTGGCTGGGCTTCTTTCTCTTGTCACTAAATGTTGAGAAATGACTGGCATTTCAATCCAACTCAGTTGTCCAGTATTTCCTCAACTTAAAAGCCTTGCCAGTTTGGGGTTCCATTCCTGCATATTCCCACCTTTATATAGTACATACAAAAAGCAGCCAAGCTTTGAGGAATGTTTCATAAGAGGAAAGTAGGTTTTGGTCCGGCCTTTCCATCTGCAGTAGAGATGGCTTCCCTCAGTCGTGTAGGGCTGTTGTCTACATAAATAATTAGAATCACTGCAAGTCAGTATGTCAGCACCATTCTGGTAGCCCCCTCTCTTGCAGTTCTATGAAAGAAATACTGTGCTGGCCAGAAGCAGTAGTCAGCTTGCCTGGCTGCCCTCCCTGGAACAAGGGCCTGGCCTTGAGACTTTAAGACAGCCTGATCCAGACATGAGTCCTAGTGCTCCTTGGGGCATCTGATGGCTTGCATGAGTGGGCTAGAAAGTTGGAACAAGCTATGAAGGAGAGAAACCTAGCCTGGGGCTGAGGCCGGTGCCGGTCCAGGGCTAGGTCCAGGCCTGGGGTACTCTACCTGAATCCAGTCCTGGGTGTTGGAGGGGGACTTGAGACATTCTGAGGAGGGTGCTTGAAATTCACAGAGGGCACCTGGGGTGTCTGTCCCCATATCTAAGGGCAATACTCGCAATGAGACTTTTTTCTTTGTTTTGTTTTTGTTGTTGTTGTTGTTGTTGTTGTTGTAATGACTGTGAAGTGTTCAAAGATAGAACCTGTTGGAAAAGCTGAGCTTATCCTGGAATTGTTCACTGTCATTTTAATTGGCTCCATTTAAATAATTTTCCTGAAGAGTATGATGATTGAACTTTAGTGAGTGTATTTTGTCTCCAGGGATTTTGATTCCTGGCCACCCACCCCTCTGTACTCCCAACCTCATCCCCCTAGTGGGACCTTCTCTACAGTCTCTATATGAACTCCCATTCTCACCTCCTCATTCTAGTGTTCCTATGTGGCCATCTCTGGATGTTATTTGTAAAAGATTTGAGAGATTGAAAACAAACTTCCATGTCCATTTCTCTGTCTTTGTTTAGGAAACAGGGAGGATGTTGGTGAATTGAAGCCAACAGCAAATGAGTGTGCTCATAACTTTCTTTTGCTAGTTTCCCCTCTGTTGTTAGTTCTCCCTCTTGCTAGTTTCCCCCTCTCTTGCTACTTTCCCCTCTCTTGCTAATTTCCCCCTCTCTTGCTAGTTTACCTTCTCTTGCTAGTTTTCCCCTCTCTTGCTAGTTTTCCCCTCTCTTGCTACTTTACCCTCTCTTGCTAATTTCCCCCTCTAGTTAGTTTCCCTCTCTTGCTAGTTTCCTCCTCTCTTGTTAGTTTCCCCTCTTTTGCTTGTGCTCTGCCTCTCATTGTCTCTGGCTGCTGTCACCTAGGGTATAGCATTTGGCCTTGCATCTTATGGTGGCAGAGCATGTGTACAAAGAATGCTTGAAGGAACTTAGTTTGGAGAATAAAAGATTTAAGGAAGACACGTGAGCTTCAGATATCTGAAGGTTCATCATGTGGAAGAGAAGAAATCTTATTCTTTGTGACCCCAAGCGGTTAAATTGGGTCAGTGAGTAGAGGTTAGAGAAAGATTCAATTCCAGGGGAAAGAAAAACTGTTATGGTTGTCAGAAATGGAATTTGCTATGTTGTGGTGACCGCTTGGCAAATATTTTAGGGACTTGATTCAGACATTGGTTGGATTTGGAATTCATTCTTCTGTGGCAAGTTGAAATAAAGTATGAGGAAATCTGTGTAACAGCCCAAGGTTAGATAACATCCTCACAGAGCAAGAACATCCCTTTTCTTTGATTTTACCTTCTCCTAGGTTCAAGTGGACCCCACTTCTGGGAACTGTACTCTGAGTCTTTGACTCTTGCATGTGGCATTTCTTCTACCCTTGTATGTTTTATTCCTGTAGCTCTGCTGCCATTCCCTGGCTGGGACCCCCTTTTATCTGCCGTCTTGGTTAACTCCTCTCTCGTGTGTCTCTCAAAGTCACAGCCTAACCAGGCGTGCCTATCTAATCATCACCTTACCTAGGCTCAGCTTGTCTGTATGTGGCTTAAGCCAGGAGTTAGTTTGGGGACTAAGTTGTCATTAAACCCTTTCCAGTACCTGTGGTTCTGTGAATCCATAGCTCTTGCCTTATTTGGTTTGGCCGTGATTGGACAGTGGGTCCCACTGGAGGATGGCTCCTGGAATAATCTCCCCTATCATGCCCCCCTCTGACTTTTCTCTTTCATTCTCTAATTCCCTCACTAACAGAAACAATATATTTTAATGAGGCGTTCTGAAATAATTTCTGGTTTTCTTTTTCCGGGTTTTTTTTTGTTTTTTGTTTTTTTTTTTTTTTTTGAGACAGAGTATCACTCTGTTACCTGGGGGCATGATCTCTACTCACTGCAACTTCCGCCTCCCAGGTTCAAGCGATTCTTCTGCCTCAGCCTCCTAAGTAGCTGGGATTACAGGCACCCACTATCATGCCCAGCTAATTTTTGTATTTTTAGTAGAGACGGATTTTAGCATGTTGGCCAGGCTGGTCTCGAACTCCTGACCTCAAATGATCTGCCTATAAGGGCCTCCCAACATACTGGAATTGTAGGTGTGGGCCACCATGCCCAGCCCTTGTTTTCGTTACTAGAAAAGAATTAAGCTTTATGGTTTTGCATATTTCAAAACTATTTTACTCTATGGAATCTTCTCTTTTAGTGTGTTTTAGAAACAGAACTATAGAGGAAAGAAAAATATGATGAGACAATCAAGTTTATTCATTCTTCCTCAAATGATCTGGACTTAGTCTTATCTGCCTAGCAAAAAGTTGGGCTGTGTTCCCAACAGTGGGAGTGAAAAAGTAGCAATACCATATACCAACAGCCGAAGTGATTTCAGCCCCCACCCTGAGGCCTCACAGGAGCAGACTGGACTTGTCAGCGCCTGTCAGTCATGGCCTATGCTCCTTGCTAAGCCTTTTGTCTTCCTGGACCAAGATCCTTAACCTTTGTCACATCACTGATTTGGAGTACCTGCTGGATCACTTGGCAGAAGTGACACCAGCTCTGGAGTACCTCAGTCTGCTGGGCAACGTGGCCTGTCCCAACGAACTGGTCAGCTTGGAAAAGGATGAGGAAGACTACAAGAGATACAGGTGAGTGTCCAGGGATTGGAGCATGGTGGGAAAAGGGAAAAAGAGAAGCTTTAGGGGATGATATTATACTCTGGGGTACATAGTAGATGTTTGGTAAACATCAGTGGGCTTCCCATGACAATGTTAAACTTTTACCTTTTGGTAACCTACAGCCATTGTCTCTCTTGGTTGAGGTCACAAAAATTAAGAAAGATGAAAAGTTATTGCCTTGTCCGCTTTTTTTGTGAAGTGCCAGATATTAAGTATTTTAATAGTTAATATTAATTTAATACTTAATATTTAATACTTAATACTTAATATGCAAGTTATATGGACTTGTCACAACTACTCAGCTCTGCTTTCATAATGCAGAAGTAATCATATGTAATTTGTGAACGAATGGGCATGACTTTGTTCCAGTAAAGCTTTATTTACAAAACAGGTAGCAGGCCAGAAATGACCCATGGGCTGTAACTTGCCGACCCCTGCTCTGTGTTGTAAGATCTTTCTGTGGTCTGTCTCAGCATCACCTTGAAGAGAGAGATGACTTCCCAGCAAAATTTAGGGAGCTCATAGACAATCTAAAGATGAAGTCCCACAGGCCCATACCTCTCCACCATAGAGCTATGCTGTGGTGCCCACCAGCCATGCGCTTTCATGGGCTCCAAGTAGAAATGCTTTTCATTCTTCTGTCCACTTCTCAACCATCTGCTTTAAAAGCCCTGATCCAAAATCATTTAGAGAGTCTTTTTGGTCTTACCCATTTTACCAAAGTCACTTAATTTTCCTTTTTCATTTAAAATTGTCTGTGTTCTCATTGTGGATTGTTGTTTTGTAAATGCTTTAATGACATTTTCATGGACCTCTCTCTCCATTATGACATAAGCTCTCATTAAACACCCCACCCGAGTAACTCTTAAAAATCACTTAATAAATTTTGTATATGTATATATGCATATATATACATCTATGTGTATATGTATATGTGTATGTACACACACATTCATGTACTTGTTCATTCATTCATTCATTCATGGGGCCAAGAAGCTACGTGTGCAGCCAACCATGTAGGCACGTTTTTGTTATTTTTTCTAGAATGAGAGAGGTAGAGAGGGATTGGTCTCAAGTACAGGGCTTATGAGGTTGCAAAAGGAAAAGAAAAGCTAAGAAAAATTTTTTTCTTTTCTTTGTGTACCATCAGCTCTCAAATAATTACTATTTGTTTTTTCTATTGTAACTGGTCGCATTAGCAAAAGTACTAAGACCAAGGTGTATGGGGTCAGATCAGAAGATCTGACGTGGAGTCCAGCTTTGCCGGTGGGACCCTTCAAATGGGAGAACAGTCTACATCAGTATTCCATAATCAAGGATCTGCCTCTGAGTCATCCAAGGTCTTCTGATGCAGTTGGTGGCAATTACAACACAACGGTCCATAGGTGTTTCTGATGTCCATTTGGCTTTAGAATTCGGAGACAATCTGCTCCCAACCAGTTCCATTTCTTCCTCTACTGTCTCACACCATTTCATAGATTCTATCTTGTGTATTTCTCTCACTTCTTCATGTATTTCCACATCTAGAGAATGACTTCCGGTGGGTAGGAGCTGAGTTGTCTTGACTCTTGAAGCCTCATCAATACCTAAAGTAGTGCTGGTTGTGAAAAAAGGGCTTGGCACCCTTTTTTTTTTCTCCTGGAGGTGGCTTGAAACCACCTTTCCTTCTCAGGAGCTAGGAACTTATGGGGGATGCAGGGATATTTGGCCATCTCAGATGCCCACTGCCCATTTGGAATCAGAGCCATTTGGATGTTAACAAATGCAGCTAATAAGCAAAGGACTATGATTCAGACTCAATCCAAGTGCTGGTTATGGGTCATGAATCTTTAGGGAGGGCTGGATTCTACAAGTGTGGTCTATCTCATGGGCTAGCCTGGGCACACTCCAAGCCCATCCTCCCCACTCCAGTTCTGTTCCCTTGGAAGGAGTTGAGGGTTGGGGCTAAGGGAGGTGGTTTGTGAGTACACATATGACAAAGTTGCCATAAGAGGCTATATTCTGGAAGTCATACAAAGCCAAAATCATAACTAGCAAAATTAACTTAGAAAATTTACATCATCCACAATGATGGCAAGATGCTTGCACTCCGAGAGAAACAGGAACTAAGAACAGCACAAGGAACAGTAAATATGTTCCCATGTAGTTACACATTCACTGCACAGCAACTGGTTGAAGAGTGGAATGGTAGGCTGATTCTCTAGCACATTTAAATTTTTTATTCATTTAATATCTTTATTTTTTACTGTTGATTTGATGAGTGCTCACACTTGTATATGGAAGAGATAGATATGTGTTTGATATAGCTCCATTCTATGGTCTGTAAGCAGATCCGCTTTGTCCTTCCTTGAGTTTGTGCTCCATTTGCCACTGAGAAATTTTAGGGTTTTGCAATATGACTTTTGACTCTAGAGTTCCTGTGGCATTTGTGTTTATACAAAGCAATGCAGCTGCCTTTTTTTTTTCTTTTGGTAAAACATTTTCCTGGCCGTTCATCCACAAAGCATGAGGGTTGCCTTCCTTCTAGCTGTTACCCAGAGCCTAATAGTAGAGCCTCTATGTAAATTTATGTGACATTTTCACTAGAAAATTGCTTAAAAATGAATGATATTTCTACAGTTTACTGTTTTTCACTTTAAGTACATTTTCTGACAATATGTCTTCTATTAATCATTTAAGCAATACTAGGAGCCTTAAAGGACTGTATTCAGAAGCAAGAACCCATGGTTCATTTAGTGCTGTCTGAAAAAATTTCTTATTGATTGGCATCCTCTGTGGTTATGTGATGTAATATTTATAATATGTCACCCAGCCATACATCAAAACAAGTGTGTCTGTTGTTTCATTTCCATGGGAGATGTTGATTTCAAAGAGGTCAGCCCAGTTTTTAGGTCACGTTGTGGCCAACCACTGGGCCAGAAATGGGAAGTGACTCGATTTGTGTAGTTATTGGAAATGGCATCACAGAGCTTGAGTTTCTATGGAGTCTTTCCTCCCCTCCTCCTACATTCACCCCTTTCACTTCCTCACTTACCCCCTGTGCACCCAGTTGGATTTTCTTGGCACACATCCCCACCATAAAACAGGCTCATTAAACTTATATGTGAGCATGAACATACTACCAAGTTGTTGAGTAGCACCCTGGCCTCACTGGGGCAGGAGCAGAACCATGCCTGGGGTTTCTCTTTGCCATTCATCATAGTTCATGGCTGAGAAATGTCCACGGCCCTGTTATTATAGGAGCTTAAACCTGTCTGTGATTTTCAGTGTGTACACACCATGCTGCTATTTTGGGATGAATGTTGAATGGAGGTGAATGTGATAATCAGCAGCCTCCAGGATTTGGGCAGGAAGAGAACAGCAGTGCAAGTCTTGGCTGGAGAGACCACCATGCTACTAAGAAACCACTTTGGTGCCCCTTGTGGATTTCAACACTAGCCAAAATAACAAATCAATATGGGAAAGCTGGGTGCCCAGAATGGTCTATTTCTTGCTTTCCCTGCCATCTCTTTTTTTCTTTTTGCTACAGAAAGAACAATGGACTGAAGGTTAACAGTAGACAAGTCTGGACTTCACCTTTCAGATAAGGGAGTTGATCTCATGGTCTTTTAGCTCTTCCTCTGTCACTGAACCCTCTGTCGTTCATCCCCTCCTGCCACTCCAGTCTCTGGTTGGCCTTGCTTTCCTCCCTCCTCCCTGTAGGCCCTTCTGTATTCCTTACAACTTTCAGTTATTTAAAACGTGACACCCTTTCTTTGTTCCCCTGCACGGAGCAGCCCTGGGGCCTGCCCAGTGTCTACAGCACTCAGCCAAAGGGAAGGAGGGAGGGACCCTCCGCCGTCTGGTCTCTCTGGGCTGCCACCATTTCCCAGACGAATAGGAGCTGTAAAACTTGTGGCTTACATAACCCAGTGAGCATTCTCCAGCTAATCTACAATCTGGGCTTTGAAGATCACAAGAAAGCAAAGGTCACGACCCAGAGATCAAAGTGACAGAAGCCCACAGAGTAATTGCCGGTTACCCTCTGTAGAGGGCCTTGGTCTGTCCTGTGGGTGTATTGTTTGCACAGAGACTTCAAACATGCTGCCGGTGAACTGTGAGGAAAATCAGCTGGCCTCTGCCAGTTGTCAGGCATTCATGAATGCTGTAGGTGAGCTCACCTCGGCTCATTAGAGTGAGATCATTGTCATCTCTCTGAGCATCTGCAGTTATTCCACTCATAGTGTTTGTTCATTACTCTGTGGTCTTTATTGACTTTCTCACTGTCGTCATTTACTTGGAGGTGTTGGGGGGTGGTTATATAAGGAAATTGGAATAACAAGAAAGAACGACATGGACATATTTATTGTAAGTCAACTTTGAGCCACATAGAGTTCAAGCAAGGTAACATTTGAAGGACATCATTTGGCTCATCCCCTTCACAGCATGGATAGAGAAACTGAGGCTCAGAAAGGCAGCAGAGACTGAACCAAGATCACAGGGCAAGATACACTCAGACTCTGGCCTCTTTCCCTATCCTATTAGTCCCCAAGCTTTTTGTTACAGAAACTTCCCCTCCTCTTATTTTTCTCCCCAACGCTTTAAAAGCTTTGGTCTCTCAAATAGACTGCACTGAAGCCATTGCTAACTATATTATTATTATGAAACAGATACATTCAGCAGTTTATCAGGGCTTCTGTTCAGCATGAGGTAACCAGTGCTATTAAATTGAGTTAATGTAATCTAGTCAACAGTGAGGAAGCATGATATTTTGTTGGCAGACTCAACTATCCCGTCAAGCTTTGTGAAAGTTTGAGAATGGCACAGGTCACCCATTGCTGCCTTCGGGGTCCCAGGTAGGGCACCAGTAGCTTGTACCATGTCTTCCTGCCTCCAAAGGATGGAAGCAAGAAGACAGCAAGAAATAATGCAAAGAAGCATAGACTGCCATAAATGGAAGAAAATTTCCAATGACCCCATGCCCAGTTCCC